AAAATCTGAAGCGCGTACTGCCTCGCGACCTTCCCGTCCGTACAGTCCAATTCCCACACTGGCTTGATGAATCATAGCCACGTCATTTCCCCCGTCTCCGATCGCTGCGGTCACCGGTGGTCGACCGGAATCCCGTTTCCTAATTCCTTCGCGAACCATTTCGACCACAAAGGCCTTTTGGATTGGAGTCATTCGACAGCACAGAACCGCATTCATGCTCAAGCACAAATCCAAAAATGCCGGACAAAGAGCAGGCTGAATGGATGGATATATAGATAGATAGATAGATAGATAGATAGATAGATAGATAGATAGATAGATAGATAGATACTAGATAGATAGATAGATAGATAGATAGATAGATAGATAGATAGATAGATAGATAGATAAAAATTGCACAGTGCGGTCTCTTTACCAAAACAGGAATTCAGAAAAAATGGGTGCTTGAGTCATTGGCAATGGTCACCTCTTCTGGTCGATGAACTGAAGAGCCCTTAGGGTCATTTGATTTATAGTTTGTATGTGTCACCAAGTGTAATGTTATTATTATTATTTTTGTAATTATTATTATTATTATTATAGTTTTTATGTGATAGTTATAAATCATTTTTTCTATTTCTGTTTGGTTCCTTCACCCTAAAAAATAATATGTCCTATTAAATCCAACCGTCCTTTTTTGATACAAAAGTGAATGTCAATAAATGACTAAAGCTTATAATCACTTCGTCCAACCGAAAAATTTTCAAACCGAAAGCCGAAATCCAATGGCCAAAACGATGGATGAACCGCGGAAGTACGAGTCCAGTATTGCATAGTATTGCATATTAATATTGCATAATGAGATAGGATTTGGATCCGGGACGGATGCGATGTGGACCTAGTAACATGCTTTAGATAATTTCAAGTATGCTACCCACTCGGTCACCTGGAAACTGATCAAAAAGTTTTTCATTTTTCATTTACGTGATACAGCACAACCCATCTCTGCGAGCTTGTTGCAGGCCATGAACCTAGCTCATCTTATTGCTGGCCTCCGGGTTTACGACTCGGTTGGAAACATTTCCAATCTGACTACTTGTTTCATGTGAGTAATGGAGAATTCGATTCAACTTCAAATGGGGATTCGTCGTTTATATCGTGTAAATGAAAATGAAAATCGGTCTAATCAGCTGCTCACCTGTGACCGAGTGGGTAGTATCCTCGTGTTTGGGTTTGATAATAGATTGATAATTGCTTACAAAATAGTTACATTGTTAAAACATGAAAAGCAAAGCACAGTCTTGTAGTTCACAGAATCTACATGTGTTGCGGATTGAAAGATTTGTTGTGAGCAATAGATAGATAAAACGTGTATAAGACAATTTTATTCCATTAGAACATTATGCCACTTGCGCTAACCGTACGCCGACTGCATTCGTCCCTTCATATACTCATCTGTCTTGTAAGTGAGAGTTGAAAAAGTCGATAAAAACCAAATTGATGCTTTTAGGAAAAGAGATCTGATAGTTGCAATCCGACTCTCAGCCGTTACAGTGAGGATCTATTGATTTATTTGAATCAAAATCCGGTAATGCACGGCAGTCAACTTATCTTTATCGGTGTCAACAACATGTCACCTGGGATTCACTTCAGTTCTCATGCCCTAAAAATCCGTAATTTGTAATGTTGGATACAAATTGAAGCAATTCACTGAAAGCGGGTATAACACAAACAAAATGAACGGTTTGTTTAACTGCAAACATTTAACTCTGCCAGAAGCACATAATCGATCTGCGCTGATTTTCGCGCCTATTGAGGCACACATACACACACACACAGACACCCAACACAATTGTGCTGAACGGGACGGGGCGGGGTGAGGCTGGGGAGGCAGATCGAATAACCCTCATGAACGATGCCATACAGCATTCAGTCTGAATTTCAAAACTGTCTGTTTTACAGAACAATAGCTCAGCAAAAAACGCTTTGTAGACCATTTGACAAATGGGCACGGTGTGTTGGAGAATCTGCTTCAAAAAAGTTGTAAAATAATCACCTCTGAATACCCTGATTCCATAAACTGCATCCACGATGAACTGAGAATTACAGCAATTCGAGGGAATTTAATCGGATACAAAGGGTTAGGTCTTTAATATCTCTCTCCAGTTGAGGATGTTAAGGCGGCCGAAACTTTGTCGCTCTGTGGGATGAAGTTCTGCTGGTCGGGAAGATCGTTACAATTAATACAGCCATATTAGCCATGGATTTTCGTGCAGTCACTTTAATTGTTGCCGTTTGCCTACCCATGTGGCTGGAGCAAGGGAGGAATTTTGGCAGAACAATATTGGTATCAGTGTCAGTAATGTGAGAATAAAGAATTCAGGTAGGCCAAGGCTACAAAGAGATTGAGAAGATGCACCAGCGTCACTGTTTACGGCACTCAGCCATACCGTTCATTGTTTTTAACTTTTGGTAACGCTGATCCCCGAGGTCCTTACCGTAGAAGCCTTACGCAATCTAAATGGCTAAGTCTCCTGAACAGGTTTTCATCACCTCATGTCAGCGTTTTAGTTTAAACACCTTGACTTTCACTACTAGTTTATTGCATCCGCAAAAACAACTCACTTCGTGGTACTCTAACAAGTGGTGTTTGTGTACTACATGCCCCAGATAACAGAATCTGTAGAGGTACAACATGGATTCCAGCGAGCGAGCGAGATCACTCCGAGTTATATTATCGCTTAATCTCATCATCATCATCATCATCATTATCATCATCATTGGTTCACTCGCTCCATCAGGCTCGTGCTATGTGGCGTAGATAGCCAATTAGGAGGAGGTGAATATTATAAACGAGAGCACCGGAATGGGACATAACAGATAGAATTTAGCAGCCCTGACCACAAAACCACATTATTATTCTCATACCGAATGGACTTAGTCGTGGAGTTGTCGTTTCGTCGAATGTGATCCAAGACAGCCAATCAGGGATAAAATAGAATTGAAATTAAAGTTCATACATGGGCCGGGATCTGTAGTCACCTCATAATATATTAATCGTTTCTGTAGATTGAGTATTTCGCAACACTTTTAATATGAATGAAAGGCAACCCAACAAATCGGTCAATTTTGTTCGACTTTTTTTTTCCTGACCACTCTTTAGCATTCGAATCTATTTCACAGATCAAAGATGTTACAAAAACTGGAATCGTTCGAATGCCCTAGACAATTTATAGCCTGATCAACCAACTATTTTACTAACCAACCATTAGACTCGGAAAAGCCTTATCTGAACCCTTAGTCAACATCTGTGGAATTTTTTCATGGAACTGTGCTATTCCCATACATATTTTCCACGCAAAATCATGACAATCCTTTTGGTTCTCCGGCACGTGTTTTTTTTTTTATCTAAGCAGCTTGTATTGTCCCGTATCAACCAATTTCTTCTTCCTGCCTCGATCAAAGCTTCGGTACCGAGAATATTGATCAAATTCAGTCATCCTCCTCCTCCTTCTTATCCGGGCTTAAAAATGTGTTTTGATTGTTCATATACCGACAGATATCACATGGATAAATCGTAATCCTTTATCCTGAGGTGGACTCTGTCAAATATCTTGGTGTAACCATAGATAACAATCTTCGTTGGTCAACTCAGATCCATAACTGCATTGGTAAACTACAGTGCCTTGATGATTTTAAATTCGAAAGCTCAGGCAGTTTCGCGCATCCCAATCCGTTATTTCTATCTTTGGTAATCTATGTGTTCTCCCTATCTTTACCCAGTTGTTTTCCCTGGCTTATTTAAACAGGATTTGAAAATTTAACACCGCGGTCTAACTATTATTAGCCGAGTTTCTTCTATCCCTGTGAAGGAATTAACTGTAAAACTCTGAGACTACCATACAACTTCCAGTGTGAAATTTGAGGATAGGATTCTCACGGATCCTGACCCCCCCCCCAGTACACGCAGAACGGACATGTTGTCAGTTCCATTCATCCATACGCTCTCTATTCCGCCAAGTTTCATCTCGTATAAACGCTTACCGAAATTCAACTGCATCACCGAATCTTACACGTTTACACAGCAACAATGAAAGGGTAACAGGTGAACTTCATGTTAACCTTGGACTGTGAAATATTTCTATGCTTTTTGTGAGCACATTTTCCTCGTTGAATTTGATCTGTGACGGATGGCGTGTATATACTTTCAAATGAAATGAAAGCTTCGGTGCCTGTAAAAGTTATACACAATTCAACACAATAGAAACCCACTAGACGGATTTTGCTGTCGACTTTTAGGGACTGGTAAATAACATCATCATCAGTTAAACAAAAGTGATGGCTTTGCAAAAAACTTCAACCCCAGACAATATACACCCGAAATCCCTTATCCTTTTTGAGTGTATCACATATCTGAACCACTACCAACTCTAGTTTAACGGATCTTTGATCACGCAGCACTCCCACAACCATGGAAACAAGGAGTTATTTCACCCATACACAAAGGTAGTCGTCGTGGTCATACCGCTACCTACCAACTTGTAACCCTGCTACCAGCGTTATCGAAAGGCATGGAACAGATTCCCTGATGGAACACGTAGCAAGATACAATATTCTTTCGTTAGCTCAACATAGGTTCAACCGAAAGCGATCCAGTTCACCGACTTGTTTCTCGTTCGAGATGATCTGACTAGAACAGTTGACGAAGAGTATGTGATGGATGTGATCTATCTAGAGTTCGCGAAAACATTTGAGCGGGCAACCCACTAAATTTTATTGCAAATGCTTTAGAATTACAGCATTTGAGGTCTTGTGTTTGAGTGGATTAGAGAATTTCGTGTTTCTGCTTCCTTGTTCGATTCTATCAATGTTACCTGCGGGGTTTCACAGGGACCTGTACCTGGTTCCCCACACTTTCCCTTGCACACCCGGAGGGCTCGCTACCATTTCAAGAAACATTGAATGGAGCTTATCAGTGGTCTATGGAGAACGCTATGAATTCGTGTTTGAACGCTCATAGACTTTATTTATCGTTGCCTCTTTACAACCGCTGAAGTCTCGATGGAGCAAAACATGCCTCAAAATTACAAACTCAACCAGAACGATCGATGTGTGTGTGCAGAAGTTTGTCCAGGTCAGATGCAACTACCCATCTATTTCCTCTATAGGCTTTTGTGTTAAGGCGGTAATGGGCTGGGAGCATATGGAAGCCTGCTATAATATTGGACAGTATTGAAAATCAGTTCTCGTCGTTCTCGGATGAACTGAATTCCATT